GACACGTGACTCCAGACTTACCCAGAGGTCTGTGCGGTACATTTGGAAACACGAATATCGGCAAACTGCTCGAGTTTGGAATACAAAATGTGGAAATACTTCTCTGGATGTGAACAGCCGCCGTCGAAAAAAGCCAAAAGCAAGGACGATGTTCTGGAGAGTAACCAACTGTACGAGAAAATTTGAGGGCCACTTCATTTTGGCCTGGGCCACTAAGAGTTCAGGGATACTGGCCCGAGTGGCGACCAAGCACTGAGGTTAATTTTTAGCCCTGCGTATATACATCATAAATTCTCAGTTTCTTTCTTGCTATACATCGCAACCAAAGAAACTTGTCAAATTAACCAAATCATTACTGTAAACAGCTCCATGAATGCTCCTATCTCCAAGACTTCAAAATAAATAAATAAATAAAAAATAACTCTTGCATGCCTTGCATGCCTATGTTTTTTGTTTTTTGTTTTGCTCGTTTGGTAGTCTCCTTCGCAGCCGTTATTAGGGTCGTCACGCAGTGGGGGAGAAGCGTTGCGTGACGACCCTAATAACGGCTGCGAAGGAGACTACTCGTTTTGGAGATTAGAAATAATCTGTTCTTGCCAGAACTGTTGTTCATGAGGATTGGTTTCATCGTTCTAGATTTGTATTCTTTTTTACAGGCTTTCCGCAACACTCAAAGAAGTCGGACGCCTCCGATCAGAGAAAGCGGAGTTGGAAGAAAGATTGGAGGTTTTACAGAAAAGAAGGTATTTTACGACATCTGCAAATATAACATATAGATATAAACATAGCCAGTTTTCTTGGACAATTCTGTCCAAGGGGGAAAGGCGCAGTGAGGTTTACCCTGTGTAAAGAACCAACCCGTGAGACAAGGCCAGACTACAACACCGGGAACTACGTGCCGTACTCTCTACTCATTAGAGCTCTTACGCGTTACATAAGGTGAGGTAAAATCTGCGTCGGGCCAAGTAGTCCACACCGCCGGAGCTTATCCCGGTTTCCGTAGCGCGAAACGACTAGGATGGGATGCTAGTCCATCGCAGGGTAATGCCCCATTTCCCTTTATCCATTCATACACTTGGCTGTAGAGAGGCACTGTGAGCGTAAATTGTCTTACCCAAGGACACAACACAATGACCCCGGCCAGGGCTCCAACCTAGACCGCTGGAGTCCAGCCCGCTAATCATCAGGCAACCGCGCGCGCAACTGCTTACTTTACAAAATGCGAAGTACCGTTTCCGTTAATGTAATTGTCTTGTCCACGAAGGCAATACAAGCTCAATGATACTGCAAACTAATAAACCCCCATGGCACAAATATTCCTAACTGTAAAACAAAGTGCGTCATAGCTGCTAAAAGAGGATAGTACGGCGCGAATAAATAGTCACTAATTTTCATGTTTCTCAGTTCTTTGTGATTATTTACAAGAACATTTTCCGCTGTTTAGTGCTGAACAGGAGCAGCGTGAATTTGAAGCCATCTCCCATGTGAGGGACAGTGTTCAGATGGTGGAAAATGCGATTCTGGAGAGAGATCAGGTGTGTGTGAAAATAATACAAACATGAAACCTTTTTAAAAAAAGAAACTGGAGATAAACTGGAGTAAATGTCGGCACACACGAGCGACTAGTCCTTGCGACCCTTCTTGCATGAAGGTTTTGAGGGAAAAGTCACCTTAAGGTGATTCCTTAGTATTGCATTGTGCATCCCTTCTGCGCACGATTTTCGCGTCATTAGCGCGCGCACAGGAGCGCGTGCTCGTACCAAGCGTAAGAGATTTACCTCAAACTAAGCTCGATAACGAAATAAATGCTCCTTTTCTCTTAAACGAGCACGGTGACCCCCACCTTTTATTTCACAATTTCAATGAGAACAATATCCTCAATAACTGAGAAAAAAATTTTGGCTATTTTTTTGGCAAATGAAATAAATACTACAGAGGGAGACATAAAGGGCCCAACAGCACATGTCCAAATTATGTTTCCTTTTAAGGATAAAAAAAAATGCAGGGTATTTGAAGACATTTTTTCTGGGACGTAGATGCATAAACAATCGAAGAAAGTCAAACCCTGTGTGATATAACACGCTGCATTGAAAAATAATCGAGCTTGTTTGTTACGCACGAAGATTACCAAGAGTACCTAAATAACCGTATTTGTCAGCATTGTGGCGTGGAAACAAGCACGGTGACCCCCTCTTTTTACTACGTTTTTAACATCTCCTTGTCCTGTAACAACAGCATACCAAATTTCAACAGAAATCTATGGCGGGTTCTTTTACTAGGGAATCACCTTAATTCAAACCAGTTTGAATTTGTTGGACAAGTCGGAGGGACCAAAATTTAGTGAAATGTTTCGTTTTGCCCAAATCAATGTAACTTTATTGCTTGTATGTTTCCACGGCAACAAGAGGTAAATAGCCTTATCTTGTTTCCAGGCTCTTGTCCGCGAGCAACAGAAAACGCAAGAAGTGAGCAGACTACAGGAAGTCATCAATAAAATACTGAGAGAAGCTGGGAAAAGAACAAGAGAGGAGGTACAATGTGCTTTTTTGTATTAATGTTTATAATGTTGCAAAATATGAAATTCATTCGTTAAGCCACTAACGGAGAGCTCTTTTTAATAAATGTAATGTGTTATGATGATTTATTGACTTTGGCGATATTTCTTGCTAGGTGGATTCTGTTCGGGACCAATGCAACAAAAATATCCAGAAATTAATGGAGGAGATGCACTTCCTGGAAATGGTGAGTACGAGGGAGGTAACATTCTGATGAATTCTAGTCCAAAATCAGATCAGTGCTAGAAATTTTCTAGTGGATTACTCCCTTGGGCGAGAATTTTCAGCCTGCATGCTAACTCGGGCTCATCAAAATTCAAAGGCCGCTGGAAAGTAGAGACTTAACGGTAAAGTAATTTTAAGTGCTGGAAATCAACTCAAGTATTTTCTTCTGAGCGTCAGGAAATGGGAGATCACAAGAGGGAAACGAGGTATTCGAACCCAGGACCTCGGATTAGATCACCGTTTGCTCTGTGTCCTCTACCGACTGAGCTACGAGGCCAGTCGGGAGCAGGTCCTGTCAGTTCGTGGGTAGTTACAGCAAGGTAGATATTTAAGTGTACAGTTGTGAATGCAATGTTGCTCCCCGCAACACTGAGATTAGAAGCTGGAAAGTAGAAATATTCTAGAAAATATACTTTAAAGTAAATTGAAGTGTTGATTTCCAAGTGTTGGAAATCTGAATTTCATCATGGTTCCCTCATGCGGCATTTGTTACCAAGGACATGGAAAGATGGAGATCTCTGTGGGACGACCAATGTTTCAATGTGAATTCAAAGGTTTAAAAGTCAAGTCGGTTCTTCACACGACCTTTGTCTGCAGACGAACCTGCTTTACCGAATTATAAAGTATACAACCTAATTACTAGTATGGGGGCACGAATTTTCGCAAACATTTTGTCAAATTTTCGTGAAATTGTTGAGTTAGGCTTATATAGCTATCTTAACTTGAGAAACAAAATACTCATGCTTTGCTCGAAAATGAGCGTGGAATCGCGCTCGTGAACAGCAGCCAAAAGTTGTTTTTCTATTCATGTATGAATTGAAATATCTTATTGTCCCTCAATTTCAGTTTCCATAGAATGTAATAAATTATCCTTGTACATATTACTGTAATGTATGCATACTAATTATGAAACCAGTTTATTTGTTGATGACATCAAATACATGCCAGAAGCATTGAAATCCTTGTTGACATTTTCCCGATAAGACGCGGTAGAGACGGTTTGTGCTAAAACCCACAGAACTAACTGCTTTTAGTCGAGTTGTTTTTCACGATATGGAAAAATCTCCGCCCCGGCCAAGAGATAAGAGGTGGATCTTTGAATATTACCCGGTAATTTTGCTTTTGTTTCCGTTTATGTCCTGCTGAATGCTGTAGGAGTGAATTCGTTATTATTTTATGATTGTAGTAACCGTTCGCTTGAGTGATCACGTAATTTTAGTTTTGTTTCGCGTTTGCCGAACGTAAAATTTCAACATCTATATATAATACTTATTATCTTTCTACCTTAGAGGTTACTTTTCATTTTAATTTTTTTTGCCCCAGTCGGTGAGACAATTTATCTTCTTGCGGCTAGCGTTTTCAGGTCATTTACATAATTGCAGCTGGTTTAGTCAAGACCCATTGAACGTATAACAAACACACAGACTTTGTTATGTATCCAAACGCATCGACCTAATGTCATATCTTACTCGATTAAATTAAAGTGCACATAAACCAGTTTCTTGGCTGACCTATTAGTTGACTATCGTAAAGTTCGTTTTGCAAGCGAACGGGTCAGAACTTAGATTGCTTTCATATTTACAGAATTTTCGTCGAGCTGCGTACGCGCAATTGTCGCTGAGCAGCAATCGTTGTGGAAATTCATCTCCTTTGATTATTTTGTCAATTGAAATCCCCGTAGAGAAGTTTGTTCTCACAGTATTAGTAAGGTTTTGCCGGCCCCACTCTTTTTGATGCTTTAAAAGGCATCAAGAGTTATCGATGCGGCATATTTATTGCGTGACACGCTTCGGTGAGAATGTGCTGTCACGTAGTGTAGAAAGCACTATTCTAAGCAGCAGATCTGGGGCTTTTTCAGAAGAAGGAAGCACTAAATTACGGAAACGACTTCCCTCTGCATCGCTGAACGCTAGTATTTGTAGCAAGCTGTAGTAAGAAATGTCAGCTATAAACTGTTAAAAAATTTGTTTTCACAGGAAGGAGCGGAGAAACAGGCTCAATTAGAAAGATCACTCAGGGAAAAAGCTGCGGTGGAAAAAGAACTTGAAAAGGTCAGCTTCTCGCCGCAAGGCGACTGTCTGTCATGAAAATAATGATACTTTTACGATTAATGGTTAGTCGAGTAGGCGAGCACGCGAGCGTGCAAGCGCGAAGGTCATATCACACGAGGAGACGCGAAGCGGGTGCGGAGAAAAAATTTGTGCGAGATGAATTTTTCGC